GTCCAGAGGTACTGTCCCCGACCGCCACGTGATGCTGAAGAGGCGTGTCAGCCAAGACAGCCCCACAACATCCAGAGACTTAAGGTACTCAGGACGGATTTCATCCACCCCTGGAACCTTTCCACCAAGGAGCTTGGTGGCAAGGCAACCACCTCAGTGACTTCAGCCAAGGTGATGGATGAGTCCGCCCTCGAGTCCCCAGCCTCAGCTTCCTCCTCGGAAGACGTGACGGTGGGATTGAGGAGATCCTCAAAGTATTCCTTCCACCGCCGGACAACGTCCCCAGTTGAGGTCAACAGCTCTCCCCCCGCACAGTAAACAGTGTTGGTGAAGAACTGCTTCCCCCTCCTGAGGCGCCGGATGGTTTGCCAGAATCTCTTTGAGGCTGTCCGATAGTCCTCCTCCATGGCCTCCCCGAACTCCTCCCAGCTCCGAGTTTTTGCCTCCGCAACCGCACGGGCTGCAGCACGCTTGGCCTGCCGGTACCCATCAGCTGCCTCAGGAGTCCCACGAGCCAACAAGGCCCGATAGGACTCCTTCTTCAGCTTGACGGCATCCCTTACTTCCGGTGTCCACCACCGGGTTCGGGAATTGCCGCCGCGACAGGCACCACAGACCTTACAGCCACAGCCACGAGCGGCCGCATTAACAATAGGGGCTGAGAACAGAGCCCACTCGGACTCCATATCTCCAGCCTCCCCCGGAATCCGGGAGAAGTCCTCCTGGAGGTGCGAGTTGAAGGTCCCTCTGACAGAGGGCTCCGCCAGACGTTCCCAACAGACCCCCACTACATTCTTGGGCCTGCCAGGTCTTTCTGGCTTCCTCCTCCGCCAGCGAACCCAACTCACAACCAGGTGGTGATCAGTTGACAGCTCAGCCCCTCTCTTCACCCGAGTGTCCAAGACACGCAGCCAGAGATCAGATGACACGACTACAAAGTTGATCATCGACCTCCGGCCTAGGGTGTCCTGGTGCCACGTGCACTTATGGACACCCTTGTGCTCGAACATGGTGTGTGTTATGGACAAACTGTGACTAGCACAGAAGTCCAATAACAAAACATCCGCTCAGGTTCAGATCAGGGAGGCCGTTCCTCCCAATCACCCCTCTCCAAGTGTCACTGTCGTTGCCCACGTGGGCGTTGAAGTCCCCCAGTAGAACAACGGAGTCCCCGGTTGGTGCACTGTCTAGTACCCCTCCCAAGGACTCCAAGAAGGCCGGGTACTCTGCACTGCTGTTCGGCCCGTAGGCCGACACCACAGTGAGAGACCTGTCCCCGACCCGAGGGCGCAAGGACGCGACCCTCTCATTCACCGGGGTGAACTCTAACACACAGCAGCTGGGGCAATGAGCAGGCCCACACCAGCCCGCCACCACGCTCAACGCGGCCACCGCGCTCACCGCGGCCACCACGGCCACCGCGGCCAACGCGGCCAACGCGGCCAACGCGGCCAACGCCAGAGAAATGGAGAGTCCAACCCCTCTCAAGGAGTTGGGTTCCAGTGCCCAAACTGTGCGTGGAGGTGAGGCCGACTATATCTAGTTGGTAACGCTCAACCTCCCGCACCAGCTCAGGCTCCTTCCCCCCCAGCGAGGTGACATTCCATGTCCCCAGAGCTAGTCTCCATGTCCGGAGATCCGGTCGCCGAGGCCCCCGCCGTCGACTGCTGCCCAGACCCCTATGCACTGGCCCCATATGGATCCTCCCGCGGGTGGTGGGCCCACGTGAGGACGGCCCCACGTCGCTCCTTCGGGCTGAGCCCGGCCGGGCCCCATGGGGGAAGGCCCGACCACCAGGCGCTCGCTGGCGAGCACCCACCCAAGGCCTGGCTCCAGGGTGAGGCCCCGGTGACACCAAACCTTGTGACGTAACTGGCCTCTGTGTGTAACTCATCATATGGGACTTCTGAACCGTTCTTCGTCTGACCCGTCCCCCCGGACCTGTTTGCCTTGGGTGACCCTACCAGGGGCATGAAGCCCCCAACAACATAGCTCCTGGGATCATTCGGGCACTCAAACCCCTCCACCACGATAAGGTGACGGTTCAAGGAGGGGTAAAATAAAAGCAATGTAGCTTTAGTCCATGCATAAGATAAAATTATAAAATATGTTTATTTTGTAATTCCAAATTATCTTAAACGGGCCAGTCAGAGTCAACCAAAGGGCCTGGGAATTGTACAACGCCCAGGTCTGCTTTAGGCTATGGCATGGTTAGTCTCACAAGTATCACACATCTCACACAGTATGAGAAGTGCTTTTCACAGACATATGTCACAAAGACACTTTGTAGAGCGTTATTCATTCACTCCATACCTGATGATGGTAAGCTACTATTGTAGTAGCAGCTACCCTGGGGCAGACTGTCAAAAGTCCCCCTGACCACCACAATCACACACACCACCTTCATATTAGGCAATGTGGGTGAAGTGTCTTGCCTAAGAACACAACAACAGTTTTTGTGACTGGCGCCCCACTGTGGCACCTGTTTTTTCCCAGTGGTCTCCCATTCAAGTACTAACCAGGCCCAGCCCTGCTTATGAGATCTGACAGGATCAGGCTTTGACAAGCCGGTATGGCAATCTATCTACATCTTCAATGGATAGGCCTAACTGAATGGTTTTTAGGGAAAACTGCAGATGCAATAAGCCATTTGAAGGTATGGAGAGGACAGAGATTTTCTTAAAGGAGGATTGACACTCAGAAATATTAACAAAGGTGCCATGAATATTTAGGTAAATTAGCAAGTAGACCTTGGCTGCTTTTAGCAGATTTATTTTCTTGTCTTTACCTTGCAGCATATGCCCAGGAACGGAATCCAATCAAATCATTTAATACCCAGTTCAGTTCTAGGGCTCTTTGCTGGCCAGACTGCCTTGTAGATCTGGTCATTCCATCTGCTTAAATTTCTGCAAGTTCTATAATGCAGGATACTGCGTATGCCTATGCCTGGCAAAACCAGAAATATAGTTCTGTGTATTTTTCATACAGAGGGATATAGATTTAAGTACTGGAGCCAGACTGTGTGGGCTGGATTGCAGGCCAGTTCTATGGAAATGACTACTGTTAAAACCACAGTAGAAATCATTAACATAATAAACTAAACTTAGATACAAACTAATTAAACTGCATTTCACAGTTTCGCCACTAAACGGCAGTGAATCAAAACACTTGATGCCACTCTCCACAGCTATAGACTGTAGACGATCAGAGCAGAGCAGAAGCGCAGATGAAAATCGACAGTTACAAATTAATTAAGTTGATATTAGATGGAAATAGATAAAGAGACTGGTTAAGACAGAGTAAATATAATTTTGCCGATGTAACATTTTAAGAATAACGCTGGAATTGAAAATAAAAGTCTGTAGGAGCCATTTTTCTTTCATTTAGGCTGGGGTTAATTTGGGTCACTGTTTGTCTGGGCACAGGGTGACTAATATTTGGCTTGGCCACAAGGGGGCAGGGTGGAGTCAAGCCCTATATAAATGCACAGGTGCCAGTGCACTGGGTGTATAGGTGACAGGAGGTCACACGGTTTTTACCGCTCTCTTTACGGCCGGTGGTCTAGCTTTCACTACTCAACTCAGTAATATTATCGAACATCTTTTTATCCATTCTACTCCCTACTCCTTTCTGCTCTACAATCCAATGTGCCAATCGGGTAGTGTGTTAGGCCTGGATCCCCTGCACCCAGAAACGACAAAAGGTTAGGACTAAAATTGTTGCTACAAAGTCTGTTAACATGGAAATGTCAGTGAGTCACATATATTTTTATTAGCATGTTAAAGGTGACCTGTTATTGACTTTTATGAATTTTTAACCATGTTACTTCATTCGTTTAGGCAAAGCTGTATTTCGATTGATTCATGCATGTTTGAGTAATACTGTGTGTAATGCTCTGAGGCTGGAGTGCTCAGAAAACCACATACACCCAAATCTGTTCAGTCCAAGTCAAATAGGATTCAAAAATGTTTTGTGGGGAAAAGTCCTTTAAATTACTGTAAATTTAATTGTTTTTCATACATTCTGCTCAGTTTTGTTTATTGCACTAACGTAACCTGGAGTCCATTCCACTAATATGTTATATCCTATAAAATATGAAAAAACAAAAAGTTTATTTTAAAGCATAGACCGTTTGACAATTTTTTTTACATAGCTCATGGATTTGAATTTACACTACTATACTGCATAGTAAATAATGGTATATGAATGTAGTAAGGACACAATTTATGAATATTTGTTTTTAAAATTGAAAATTGTGAATTATCAATATAAGAAAAAAAATTTGTTCCATATCGTCCTACCCTACATATTTACAAGACATGATTTGTGATCAAATATTATGATTTATGATAAAATATCATTTACTTTGAAGCCTATTTTTGGCATTTGATGTACTTGACTTACAGTATAATTGTACTCTCTAAGATATAGCTACTCTGAAATAAACAAATCTAACCTCATCAGTTGAGAAAGATCTGATGCCAAACTTAACCTATTTAGATATTTTAGATAATATTCAGAAAAGAGATTAACGGTGAAGAATGACATTTTGTGCTCTCATGTCGACTGTGGCATTCATTTGGAAAACGAAATGACAAAGATGAATTTCAAGTCAGACAGAAGGGAAACTGTCTCAATCCAACAAGAGGGAGGGAAATCTAAACTTCTGTACCTCAAACAGGGACTGTGTCACTAAAAAAAATACACTAAAAATGTGTATATGAAAAAGAAAACACGGCTCTCATTGCTGTGAATGTGTATTGCTTATTTATTATGATTGTTCTAACTAGAAATTAACTCTACAGACTACAAAAAGCAATCCTGCAGCAAAGATAATATATGAATTAAATTGGTGAGAGTAATGAATGAATTCATCACAAATCTTGTCATCTTGTATATTACACTAAAACATAACTATCAATATTATCGTTATTATAATAGGAGCTGTGCGTTCTGATATGAAGACAGAATTCAGCCCTTTCGATATGCTGCCCTCTAGTGTTAAAAGACTAAAATTACAATTACCAAATAAGTATTTTTCTATTCATTATTTTATATTTTTAGATTCAGATGATATATCCTCTGTAGATGGCAACATAAGATTCCAATCATTAAGTCTGCAAAATAATAAAACCTCGTTACCATACATGAATACAACATATAAGAATAAAAAACACATTACCTGCCCTTTGGGGACTAGAGGTCCAAGTGACAGAATTACACTGTCATGATAAGATACATCTCTCCTGCCTCTGGTTTTAACATGGCAATGCTGTAGATTTTAATAATAATTTGTATTAATAATACAAACAGTTTTAAACAACTTAAGTAATTAAATTAGCATTTCTATTGATAAAAGAGGCAACACACATACAGAAAAATATAAAATGTATACATATGATTTTATACATACCACAACACAGTCATTGACATCCAAAAGACACAGGTGGATTTGGCAGTGCAGGTATAAAGAAGCAAAGTTGTTGAAGGAAAAAATCTCAAAGGAGAATCGTGCTACTGTGGAGTTTCCATTTTGAATAATCTTCACTGAGCTTTCTGCAGGACACCTAAAACATATATGAGATTTTAACAAAAACATAAATTTTTTTAGCTTTATACAAAAAGTGCTCCTATACCCTTGCAGAATTAGATCCTGGCGCAGTGGGTAATATGCTTCGTTAATTGGTGTGGCCCAACAGTTGTCCATAACGGCTGATATTTCACGCTCATCAATACCCTCTGTTTGCACTTCAATGAACAATTGCTCATTCTGATGCATTTCTACATTTGTGTTGCCACTCAGTGGATTCTGAAAACCTGCATCCTGATACGGAATTAGCCTCACCCTATAATGGCCCTGACCTGATGGAAGGAATTTCTTTATGGCACTATAAAAATAAAAAAAACAATACAAATTATAAACACTTTTAAAAGATCCCAGTGATCTGTCCACAACATTCTGTAAACACACTAGAAAGATTACTGTTACCTTTCTACTGGATTGATAGCTATATCCATTGACACAGCAGAAGTCAGAGGAAAAACACAAGAGAAAAACAGTTGGATGTTCAAGCTGTCATCCCCAAGAATGGCATTTTCATATATAAAATGGGTTCCATTGCTCTGAAAGAACAAAAGTCGATTATTCATTATTATTTACATTTGGTATGGATTTTCAATGTGAAATTAATGAACAGTTCACCTTCAGAATGGTGCCACACAACTGGTCATCATTATTAAAGTGGAATACCAGGCGTCCACTTTGAAGAGACCCTTTGCAAGAGTCATCTTTGAGATGCAGTGCACTAGGATGAAACCCGGCCTCTAAGAGCAGGCAGCGGGAAAGGGAGACAGTGCCAGAACTACTGACACAAGTGATGGATGCATCTATTGAAAAAATGTTTTCTTCTCAATAATGCAAAAAAGTCAACCAACTATAGAATTTGACATGCTTTTTTCAGAAAACTAAAATCTGTTATTGTTCTTACCAAAATTTTCAGTGTTCTGAAGGACATTCTCATTACAGAAACATCCATGAATACCTTCCTTTGCTCCACACCATTCATTGTCAGTACATTGCAACTCTCCGCAAGGATCTACCATAATAATAAACACCTCAGACAAATGATAAGCAACAAAACAACACTTTGAGAAACAATGCTTGTCCTGGTTTTATGGATGCTGAAACTTATTCCCTATACCTATTGCTCCGTAACAGCCCAGGTGTCCATCTCTGAGGCTGCACTCTTCTTGGTGGGAACAACTTGAGGCTGTACAGCTTAAGTTGTTGTTAGCCATGCATTCACAATACTGAGTGCAGCCCTCTTTCCAGAAGGATTCACCAGCCTTGAACATTTGTTGAATTACAATCAGAATATCTTATTAACCAAAAAAAACTGTAGTACATAGTTTAAATATATTCATTTTCATTTCAAGATAAAATATGAAAATATAAAATACATATCAAGATAAAAATGCAAACTGGGCTTGCACAACATTGCACATACTTACATAATAGTAGAAGCCATTATGTTGGCATCCGCAATTTTCCTCTGGGACACATTTGGTCCCACTTCTGACAAAGCCATCATCACAAAAGCAACCCTCCGAACAAACATGCTCACATATTACATCAATGCTGCTGGCACAAGTGCGACCACAGTCACTGCCACAAAGCTCATAGTGACTATGGGCTGGGCATACCATATCTGCAAACAAAAAATCTGATTTGAATTGAGTTTGTCAAGATGAAAACACAAAGACTGGTTCACATACGGCAAGAGGTGTTCTGTCTCCAAGGATAAATGAGAACATCAGAAGACTGGCAGGAACTGACATAAACCTGAATGGAGGAGCACAACAGCTCTGCACCTCCAATACACACATCAAACACACAGTCATTGAAAAAGGCAGCCGGATCCACCAGCAAATGGCATAGTCTGAAAGGACCCTCAGCTGCACGGATGATGTCACATTGGGCTTTAGCAGCACGATCGTCAGGACACTGTGAGCAAGATGAACCGCAGTCATCATTACAGCTACTGTTGCCTGGTACCTTCCAAGATGTCCCAAAAACAGATGGGGACATGACACTGAGTCCTGATGGAGTCTGAAAGTCATCCATTGGATTTCCATTGAAGTTTCCACACAGTCCACATGTTTTTCCACTGTCCAAATATAATACATAATTTTAAGGTGCATAAAGAATGAACACAGCATAAATCTAAAAAAGATTATACCTGTAATAAAAGGGTACAGTGATGGACACTTTATATCCACCATATGAGACATGCAAGCCATAGTCAGTCTCGACAATTGTGTCTTGTCCTCTTGCAAAAACTGACACAGCGCTTCCATAGAGTTGAAGAGGAAGGTTGTTCCAAATACCATTTACCTTTGAAAACAAACAGTGTGTGTGTTTTTTTTTCTTGTTTTTTTTTTAATCTCATGAAATGGAAATGTATTATACACAGCTGTGACAATAATGATCTTTTAAAATGGAAAATAAAAGGCCAAAGTCAACACAAATAATTATGCAATGGAGAGGTGACCCACCTTGACAACACCATTGTGTTTTCTTGATAGGAGGATGTCAACACCCCAGACATTCACATAGACTTCAGCCGTGACTGAAACTGTCAAACCTCTCCATGCCTCATTTTGTACTTCGACAGAAAAGTTATTCAGTCCAGTAGTGTGATTACAGAGTGTGGCCAAAACATAACGACAAGTCCCCTGAAAGTCGTAGAGTCTTCCGTCAAAGGAGACATAATGAGGGTCACCTGAACCAGAACAGGTGCCATGGTTGTCTTTAAGTTTGCAGCCTCTTTCTCCGTCAAACACCTTGCACTCTTCATGTGATCCACAAACATGTGAATGGCAAGTCATGTTACCGGAAATGCAATTACAGATTCTGCTGCAGTCTTGACCAAGTATTACGGTTTGTCCAGAATGGTAGTAGAGTCCCTCAAAGTTACAGCCACACTCATGGAGAGGCACGCAGTCTGCACCGCTCAAAACATAGCCTTCATTACAAGCGCAGCTCTCAAGGGGAGCGAGTGCACAGTCATTATGAGACTCAGGGTTGACACAAGTAGCTGGACATCCTGTGCTCTGAGGCTCAAAGTGGCTGTTTTCTGGACATATGATTTCTACAACAAAAAGATGAAATCAACTGGATAATCCCTGTTTATTATTTAAGACAATTAAAACAGGTAGAGGTTGATATACCACAGAAGCCGGGGCTTCTCCATGTTTGTAGTTGTACACCTTTTTCTTGACACTGACTGGCGTAGACATTTAGGGCTAGACAGAGAATGTCTTGTTGCCCTCCCTCCGAACACAGATCATACACACAATTGTACACAAAAGACTCTGGTGAAAGCACCTCATGACAAGCTGCAAAAGGTCCAGATCTGTCTCGAAGGATGCCACAGTTGTCAGGATTATTGAATAAAGCCCTCTCATCTTCAGAACAATGACTACAGTCTTGACCTTCACAGGGCATGCATTCAGACTCATCAGCATTTGGCACCAACCAGCTATGACTAAGGTCAAGAGGGCTCACAATATCTCCTTCTGGTGGTTGAATGTCATCATCTGGGTCATTGTTAAAGTTCCCACAAAGGCCACATGTTGCTCCCTGGTAACTGGATGGAACTTTGATGTTCACAAGATGATGAGCATCATAGGAGACCTCCAAACCAAAGTCAGTACTGACACCAATTGAAAAACCTGATGTATAAACATGAACCGCGCCATTGGTTAAGGAGAAGGGGGTCGTTGCAAATATACCATTGACCTGTAAAACAACAGCATTAATATATAAGAACCTGATTCTGTTACGTACTCTTGAAATTATAACTGCAAACCTTGGCTTCACCACGATGTCCTTTGACAAGCTCAATGGTTTCATTATACACAAAGACTTTGACCAGTCGTGTCCAAGTGGCAGAGCTGCCCCGATGCTCATTGGAGCCTTCTACTCTGTAGCTGGGCAGATCTGAATCACACTGCTGGGACAGGACATACGTGCAGGGGCCCTGGAAGTCGTACCGCTTCCCGTCAAACGTTGTGTAATGAGGATCACCACTGATGATGCAAGTAGCCTTCTGGATGGACTGGCAGGTAAAGTGAAAATCATTAAGAGAGCCACAGACTTGGGAAATATCACAGGATTCGTTGTGACATGACAGGCCAGATGTGGTGCAGGTGCACTTTACTGTACAGGCACTGTCAGTCCAGACAGACACACCCAGCTGGATGGGCACACCTGTAAAATATGTATATTACTCCCTTGATTAATTGTGTTGCAGCTTAGAGTCAATGATACAGTTCTTATCTCAGTTCTAAACACAAACAAACAACATTTACAGATTTGTTATAAAAATGAAAATAGAGAGGGTCACCTGAGATGGAGCATGTGTGAGGGTAGCAAACTCTTTCTCCATCAAACACCTTGCACTCTTCATGTGATCCACAAACATGTGAATGGCAAGTCATGTTACCGGAAATGCAATTACAGATTCTGCTGCAGTCTTGACCAAGTATTACGGTTTGTCCAGAATGGTAGTAGAGTCCCTCAAAGTTACAGCCACACTCATGGAGAGGCACGCAGTCTGCACCGCTCAAAACATAGCCTTCATTACAAGCGCAGCTCTCAAGGGGAGCGAGTGCACAGTCATTATGAGACTCAGGGTTGACACAAGTAGCTGGACATCCTGTGCTCTGAGGCTCAAAGTGGCTGTTTTCTGGACATATGATTTCTACAACAAAAAGATGAAATCAACTGGATAATCCCTGTTTATTATTTAAGACAATTAAAACAGGTAGAGGTTGATATACCACAGAAGCCGGGGCTTCTCCATGTTTGTAGTTGTACACCTTTTTCTTGACACTGACTGGCGTAGACATTTAGGGCTAGACAGAGAATGTCTTGTTGCCCTCCCTCCGAACACAGATCATACACACAATTGTACACAAAAGACTCTGGTGAAAGCACCTCATGACAAGCTGCAAAAGGTCCAGATCTGTCTCGAAGGATGCCACAGTTGTCAGGATTATTGAATAAAGCCCTCTCATCTTCAGAACAATGACTACTACAGTCTTGACCTTCACAGGGCATGCATTCAGACTCATCAGCATTTGGCACCAACCAGCTATGACTAAGGTCAAGAGGGCTCACAATATCTCCTTCTGGTGGTTGAATGTCATCATCTGGGTCATTGTTAAAGTTCCCACAAAGGCCACATGTTGCTCCCTGGTAACTGGATGGAACTTTGATGTTCACAAGATGATGAGCATCATAGGAGACCTCCAAACCAAAGTCAGTACTGACACCAATTGAAAAACCTGATGTATAAACATGAACCGCGCCATTGGTTAAGGAGAAGGGGGTCGTTGCAAATATACCATTGACCTGTAAAACAACAGCATTAATATATAAGAACCTGATTCTGTTGCGTACTCTTGAAATTATAACTGCAAACCTTGGCTTCACCACGATGTCCTTTGACAAGCTCAATGGTTTCATTATACACAAAGACTTTGACCAGTCGTGTCCAAGTGGCAGAGCTGCCCCGATGCTCATTGGAGCCTTCTACTCTGTAGCTGGGCAGATCTGAATCACACTGCTGGGACAGGACATACGTGCAGGGGCCCTGGAAGTCGTACCGCTTCCCGTCAAACGTTGTGTAATGAGGATCACCACTGATGATGCAGGTAGCCTTCTGGATGGACTGGCAGGTAAAGTGAAAATCATTAAGAGAGCCACAGACTTGGGAAATATCACAGGATTCGTTGTGACATGACAAGCCAGATGTGGTGCAGGTGCACTTTACTGTACAGGCACTGTCAGTCCAGACGGACACACCCAGCTGGATGGGCACACCTGTAAAATATGTATATTACTCCCTTGATTAATTGTGTTGCAGCTTAGAGTCAATGATACAGTTCTTATCTCAGTTCTAAACACAAACAAACAACATTTACAGATTTGTTATAAAAATGAAAATAGAGAGGGTCACCTGAGATGGAGCATGTGTGAGGGTAGCAAACTCTTTCTCCATCAAACACCTTGCACTCTTCATGTGATCCACAAACATGTGAATGGCAAGTCATGTTACCGGAAATGCAGTTACAGATTCTGCTGCAGTCTTGACCAAGTATTACGGTTTGTCCAGAATGGTAGTAGAGTCCCTCAAAGTTACAGCCACACTCATGGAGAGGCACGCAGTCTGCACCGCTCAAAACATAGCCTTCATTACAAGCGCAGCTCTCAAGGGGAGCGAGTGCACAGTCATTATGAGACTCAGGGTTGACACAAGTAGCTGGACATCCTGTGCTCTGAGGCTCAAAGTGGCTGTTTTCTGGACATATGATTTCTACAACAAAAAGATGAAATCAACTGGATAATCCCTGTTTATTATTTAAGACAATTAAAACAGGTAGAGGTTGATATACCACAGAAGCCGGGGCTTCTCCATGTTTGTAGTTGTACACCTTTTTCTTGACACTGACTGGCGTAGACATTTAGGGCTAGACAGAGAATGTCTTGTTGCCCTCCCTCCGAACACAGATCATACACACAATTGTACACAAAAGACTCTGGTGAAAGCACCTCATGACAAGCTGCAAAAGGTCCAGATCTGTCTCGAAGGATGCCACAGTTGTCAGGATTATTGAATAAAGCCCTCTCATCTTCAGAACAATGACTACAGTCTTGACCTTCACAGGGCATGCATTCAGACTCATCAGCATTTGGCACCAACCAGCTATGACTAAGGTCAAGAGGGCTCACAATATCTCCTTCTGGTGGTTGAATGTCATCATCTGGGTCATTGTTAAAGTTCCCACAAAGGCCACATGTTGCTCCCTGGTAACTGGATGGAACTTTGATGTTCACAAGATGATGAGCATCATAGGAGACCTCCAAACCAAAGTCAGTACTGACACCAATTGAAAAACCTGATGTATAAACATGAACCGCGGAGAGTCCATCGGGAAGATTCATTTTGCATTCAAAGTACAAAAATTCTTGTTCCGTTGGTTGATCATTTTAGCCAGGCTCAATTCAATTTCTCTCCAGTGACTAGGTCAGGAATCGGAATACACTAGACGGTTTGCAAGAATCCCAGAAGTGCGAGTTCGGACACCAGCCAATCAGCGAAGAGCCAGACATTCTGTTTTAGCGACGATTCCCGAGATCGAGGATTTAAAGCCGGAACAAAAAGAATGTTTAGTGAATTTTATCAAGGGGAAAGACGTTATTGCTCTTCTTCCTACAGAATTTGGCGCATTACATACGTCACAACCAAATAGCAGCGATTGGTTAAATAAAAAAAGTACCCGCCTACCGTCGAGCGAACGAATCCTAATGGTCACATGGTTTCTACGAAGTGAAACCGGTTGATGAATCATGCTAAGATAATTTTACTTGTCAAGTGATATTGCCTCAAACCGTGATCAAACTTTCTTAATTCATGTCATCTTAATTTGTCTAGACTGTAGTTTTTGCAGTGTAACCACAGCGGAGACAGGTTAGTGGTCAGATCTATGGAGACGCGAGCCTGCACACGGTAAGAATTCGTGTTTTTTTAAGGGATTTTTGAGCTACGAAACAGCTGAAATTGAACAAACGCAAGGGAGTTTAACATTTAATGTTTAACACCCTGCTGTGGCATAACATCTCCATGGACCCTCTACCTTAAAAGTTACATAGTGCAGCTTTAAAGAGCGGGTATTATGCGATTTTGTAGCATTCTACCATGTTTTAAAGTTGTTCCCTCATCAAAAACCTATCTAAAGAGGTTTTAAATGTCATCCATGCATGTCTGAGTAATCTAGCAATCTCTCCTCATCTTATTCGAACCCCCTTTATGGTTAGCCGTACGATTTTGTGCAAAGCTCCGCCCACAAGCCTACGTCACCCATGTTCAAACGTGACAATTCTCCGTAAAATGTATAAAAACTTGATACAAAACTGTACGCCGCAACTTGACAAACCTGCAATAGTTTCATTATCGGGAGGGGGCGCACGCCGATTGTGTTGCGATGGCACTCTGAAGGGGGGCGTCTTAGCACAGAGAGCGAGGGAAGAGGGAATTTTCAAAACAATAAAAGGTAAGACGCCGATCTAAATTGTCAACAAAAAGAGAACCGTTTTAGAACCTTTCCACGATAAAAAGAAAAGCAAACACAATTTCTCTAAAGCACAATTTGGGATTCGAGGTGCGTTCATACTTGTCAAATCTGGGACGAGGCTCGGACTAAACCTAAAACTAGAACTAATCCAGGACTAGATCAGGACCAGACCAGTTAGAACTAAACTGATCTTAAACCAGTCCCAAAACCAACACAAACACACACAGCTTGTCTCCGTACAAATAGCCTTTATACAGTAGTTTGCATGTTCCAAAGTATCGCAGAGTGGTTGCCTCTCCACAGATCTGACCTGTAACTTGGCCCGGTTATCGATAAGTTCAGTGACATACCGTGAAACATCCCTGGTAAAGTAGTAACATCTCCATGGAGACAGGGAAATTGGAAAAGTTCCACCAGAAATTGAGGTGCACTTAAAGGTTTTCGGCGCACGCAAAGACACTTCACAAAACAAATATTTAAATGAGCAAAAAGAGCAATAGACAAATACGATAAAAAAGAAGAAATACAAATAATAAAAGATAAAAACAGTGAATCATATAGAGAAAAAAGTTACATATTTAGATCACCATATTACCTTTTATTGTTTTGAAAATTCTACATAGTATTCACTGGAAACAACGTATTAACATGTTTTATATGTGTGCTAAGTTGCTCCCCCTTCTGAGCACTTTCACAACACAATCAGCATGACTCTTGTTTTTGCATATTTATGGAGAATTGTCATGTGTGAGTTTAGGTGACGTAGGCTTGCAGGCGAAGCATTGGACAGAATTTTACAGCTAAACCGTGAAGAGGGTTTGAATAGGGCCTGGGGAGAGATCACTAGATTACTCAAACGTGCGTGGAAGACAGTTAAAACCAATTTGAAGCATGTTTTTGATGATTGAAAAACGCTATAACATGGCTGAAAGTTCAAAATTTGCACAATACCCCGTCTTGAATACAAAAAATGTAATTCGAAGTGTTAAAATATTGTCAGCTTTTGTCACTTACAAATTTGCTTTCACATTTGATTTGCTTCATTTTTATTTCAAGTTCAAGTAAACAACAGAAAAGCACATTTTAAGAAAAAGAGTGGGAAGAAGAAAGAAACAAGAAGAAAGGAAGGAAGAAAAAAAACTTTATATACAAATTTTAACCCAACTTGATTCATGAGTTTCAAAAATTCTGAAATTATGTCGTTGCTTCTGTACATTGATGATGAAACTTTATATATATTTACATACAACAAAATAAATTACATACTATGCATACTAAATATAATTTTAACCCAATTTCTTTCTTCTTTTTTTTTTGTATTGTATTAGGGATGTAGCAATAACCGAAAATCGTGGGCTGTCACAATATATCGAATTACAAGTTCCTTTGCTTAAGTGTATCGCTCGATAGTAGAAAAAGCTAATAAACATAGAGAACTACATATCCCATGATTCATTTCAGCGCAGACAACATGAAGAAATATGTTTGTTACTTAAATTCTTGAGATTATGACAGAAACGATTCGCACCAAATCTTATCAAGGTATTTTAAAAGCAAAAAAGTGTCACATCTACAATTATACCAGCCTCTTCAAAATATCACAATAAATACCGTAAACACTAGACGGTTCGCAAAAACCCCGGAAGTGCGAGTTCGGGCACCACCCAATCTGCGAAAAAACAGACATTCTGTGTTGGCAATGATTCCCGAGATCGAGGATTTAAAGCTGGAACAAAGAGAATGTTTGGTGAATTTTATCAAGGGGAAAGACGTTATTGTCCTTCTTCTTATGGGATTTGGGAAAAGCATACGTCACGACCAAATAGCAGCGATTGGTTAAATAAAAAAAGTACCCACCTACCGTCGACTGAACGAATTCTAATGCTCCAAAGTCAGGTGGTTTCACTTCGTAGAAAAATGAATCAGGTTAACCGTGAGATGCATATCGTGAAAATATCGTACCAAGAGATTTGGATATCGTTACGGATTGTTCTGTATTATGATTGTACTGAGTAATAATAATGTTCACGAAGGCACAAAAGATTTTCGTTTATGATCGTACAAAATAAACCACAATGAAAATGAAGAATGTAAAGATTTTTTTTTTCCGTTTATGGTCGTACAAACTAATAATAACGTCAACGAAGGCACAAAAGTTTATCGTTTATGATCGTACAAAATAAACCACAATGAAAATTTTAAGATTTTTTTTTGTGTGTTTTTGTTTTCGTTTATGTTTTTAATTCGACGTAGTCTTGGTTTAGTCCTGGTTTAGTCCAAGTTTGGTCCCGTTTCTGATCGTGTGCGTGCAAGTGCGAACAGTGCTAAGACAAACCTGAATACTACTCAAGTAAAAGTACTCTTAAAGGTACTATTTGCCCAGAAGTCAGTGTAGTAAATGTACCTCATGACTACCTGCCTCTGTATGCCGCTGTGAGGGATAATGATCAGATAATGCTTCTTCTGGACTCCTCTCTCTTTCTCTTTCTCCCTCTCCCTCTCGTCTCTCTCCATCTCTCTCTCCTCTCCTCCTCTCGTCCTCCTCTCCGCTCCCTCCATCAAGAAGACGCCATTATTCACCACATTAGCGAAGAACAGCTAAAAGCTCTCAGCGCAGAGGAGGGTTCCAGGGTCTCGTGCGCGTGGGATCGAGGCGTGCGCGTAGACTCCGAAGCACAAGTACCGTATAGAGCAGGGGAGCAGGGGAGCGCCGGAGAACAGGAGCTAAACAAGTCTTATTGAGGGAGATTACAAGGCATCTGGGCCAAAAAGCAGCGGCGGTCAGAGGTGGTATAGGCAAAAATGGTACTTCGAAATGACTCAATTACTCAAGTAGAGGTAAAAAGTACTCTTCAAATATAAGTAAGAATAAGTCCTTCTTTTGTGATGTTGAGGTGAATCTAGTTGGCAAAAATGAACTAAACATTCAGTAAAGTATGAATTCAGGTGGTTGCTGAAAACAAACCAATACTGACTAAAAAGTAAATGAGACTGAGTTAAAGAAATGCAAATATTTAAGTCTTAAAAGAGGGGATATTATGCAAAATTGACTTTCTGAAGCTTTCTACAATGTTATAACATTTAATAGAGCCCAACCGATATATCGGTTGGTTGATATTATCGGCCGATGTGCTTGCTGATAGGGGCCGATATTTCACGTGGGCATGTTATACCTCGTTATAAAGCTTAGACTCTCTACATTCTGTTCATTTAATCCAATTTTTAATCAATTTTAATCAGTATTTATCTGTGGAGTCATTTGTCTGTGTGTGTGTCCGTACTGTCCCTGAACACACCACAGAGTCACATGTGTTTGTTTACACCCGCAAACACAGATCCACGTGCAACACTGAGATTATTTTCTTTTTACAGACAATCGGTTTGAGTCTGGATTAAAAGGACATTTATTAGTTCAGACTTGTGATGTGGGAGGAGCCTGTGTGAGGCTGAGTGTTGGAAATATGTCGACTTTGAAGTTAGTTTTGGTTCGTTCTGATAGGTTAGCGATTAGCTGCTGTAACTCTCACACATAAACAGGCTGTTTATTGGCCTATTGTAAAGTGACTATATTGGTCGTATATTTGTTACTGGACCAGTATTGATCTGAAAATGAGCTCTGAATAGACGTGTGAATTATGACATTTGCGCATATAATTAATTACC